CAACCCTCTGCTCAAGCAAGAATCAAAATCTAGGCAGCATGTTAGATACATAAAAGGGAAAAACAAATGTACATATACACAATATTGTCCCACCCTGTTCTTTGATTGCTCCATCAGGTTAATGTTTGAACTGGCAGTTTATTCACTGTATAAGAAATTTTATATAATACATCTCTCTTCTTTTCATTTCGGAATGTTACAGCATTCTGATGTAACATGAGAACATGAAGTAACATTCATCACACATAATGACCCTGAAATATAAACCCAAATACCCTATGGACAGAAATAGGAATGCACCATAGCCATATATTGCCTTCTCTATAGCTATTGTCATTCCCAATCCATGTATTTGTAGATTGTGGGGGAGTGAAACAGTACTTGAGTCTATCAAATAATCTAACCACCATGTAGCAGCTGCTTTACATGACTGAACTTTGATATTCAATGGATATCAAATTATGCATTTGATTAGAACAAATAATGCTAACAATTATAAAGAAGACATACAGGGATTTTTTTTGTCAAAGTGCCTTAATACTTTAAAGGAAATTGTTCCTTTCAAATATTAAACTGGTTTTTAAAATGGCAGGATATTTCACATAAGGTCTCTTCTAAACCTTTAATATATTACAGGTATTATCAGTTACAGCTTTTACAATTGGTGAAGCTATCTCTTAAAAAGAAAGAAAAAATGTGTAAAGTGGTTGCAAGCAATTGAAGAAATTGAAACAACTATTATGTCACTGAAAATTAAGTACTTTCTCTCTTTTTGAAAAGCGTATTCTGTTAAAAAGATCAGTTATGTGATAATGGACAAGAAAGTTTGAATTACTCTCCATAGCTAACACTTATCTTCAATTTTAAACTAACATTTGATTGTCATAATTGCCAGAGCTACATGTAAATTTCTTTGGCATTAGGAAAGTTGGAGGGGTGCTATGAATTTTCATTGGTATGCAAGACAATCAATCCTCCCTGTTTTCACTGATGACACCAATTTTTCTCTATGCTATAAAAATTGAGAATATTGCAAGCTATTTTAAAGCAGTTCTGTTAGCCAGTGTGACTTTTCTGTCAGCATTTCAAATGTGAAAGTGCTTTTTGTTTTTGACTGAATACTCTTCTCATCAGGGTTCAGTCATTTGAACAACCCTCAGCAACATTGTCTTGAGAAAAAACAAAGATTAAATGGAGTGAATGTATGTTTTTCCCTCTGGTTGATTGGTTGGTTAAATCTATTGTATAAATTGCTTGGAAAAGGTAACATCCTTCATGGAACAAATCAAAAGTTGGTCTAGTTCATCATACTACAGTGAAAGTGCACAGGCAGGTCATAAGGTAATCTGCTTCTCCCATTGTTAATGCAGGCAAAGTATGAGTTAGAATTTCCTGTCAACTACTATTGCTGAAAATTAGTTCTATTGTTAGCACTTGGAAAGTAACATTCAGTGGGAAGTTAGAATATTCTTTATTGGCCTGGACACACCAGGAATTTGACTCCAGTACATAAACTCTTAGTGTACATACAAATAACAAAGTTATGAAATCATAAATCATAACATACAAACAATAAGTGTTAAATTGTAAGATATCAATAGGAGAAGATAGTAGGAAAGATGAGAAAGATGAGAAGATGAGAAAAATTAGAAGATAATAGCACTACATGGGTAAATATCTGTAAGCATAAGACAGTACTATGGAATTAGATGTTTAACAGAGTGATGACATACCCTACATCATTTACTGGGAAACCCTGCAGTGTATAGTGAAAAGTTGCTTCCACTGTAATAGAATAGCACCATAAAAAATAATACATATGTATATCACCATCATCCTCATTTTTTTCTGCTATGAGAGGGGGAAAAAAACCTTAGCTATTTAAGTGCTCTTTAAGCACTCAGACATCAAATAGGGAAAACTGTTCAGATTAATACTATGGTATTTTTTGTACTTTTTTATACAAACTATTGAATTTGTTAGATACGTAGAGTTGGTAGAGACTATTTATGTCATGAAGTCCAACCTCTTTTTCATTGCAGGAAATATTTCAAGATAATATTCTTATGCTCTGTCTTCCAACAGCAACTTTCATCATTAAAGTGGGGGGGGTGTGTGTTGCTTTTGGGATGTGGCTAGATTTCTTTTTCCTTTTCTGTGGAGAAATTCAGATGAACTATTGCTCAGTTTCTCTGATTTCAAATTTAGTTTAGTATCTAAAAATGCTGGTGGCATGGCTCTGATACATACATGATGCTTATTGACTATGACTGAGTCATTTGTGGAAGTTGAAGGATATATGTCAGACTAGTCCATCAGAAGTATCATGTGGAATGTGACAGCCAAATCTGGGGTGAATGTTAACTGAAGTGAGATTTTGAGAGCAACTGAGCAAAAAGAGTAGGGGCTTAAAATGGGATCAGGATGGGCAGAGAGATTTATGGCATGTCTTTGGAGGAGAAAGGGTTTTGTGCAGTCCAAGTTACTTTGTAACATTTGTAGAAGAATCATATCAAAATAATGATTAGATATTAGATATTTTTAATAATGTCAAATTGATGATACGGTGCAATTTGCTTGATTCAAGAAACAAGATCTGAACAGGAAATGAACTCTAATCTGTACAGGGCACACTGCTATCTGCAGAAGTGCTGCAAAACCACGTTGAAGCTATTTATAGGGTCATCAGATTAGAATGGGAATATTTCTTATTTCCAACTGCCTAATGCCAAAGTCAACAAGATGTTCAAGAAATGTAACGAGCAGCACTGAGTATTGAAAAAGATTTCCAAGTAAAAGTAACATTCACCAAATAGACACAAAATCTTAAAAAATTCTTTGGTGCCATTGTTTCTGAAAATAACAACAAAACAAAGAATTGTTTGTTTTCCTTTGAGTCTTTCAATCCAAAATAATCACTCTCAGAAATTCAGGATCTTTCATGAAAATTTAAAAAGCACACAAAGTCAAGCCACATTGAAGGCAGTAGATACCACACTGTGAAGATGATGAGCTCAAAACCCTTTTCAACTCAGAACCGTGTGGTGGTGACATCATCATTTTTGCTTGTCTCCTATTTTAAACAAGTGAGATGAATACAGACAAAGAGTTGACAAGGCTTTCTCTTTTTTATTGACATCGAGCCCTGACACATGTTCTTGCAAATGAAACTTCCACCACATGAACTTAATCAGACCATCTAAGAAACTGCCTAGAAAATTGTCATAGTATTCTTGTCTGCATATTGCAATGTCAACAGCTAGCATAAAAGACAGATGGACCTGCAGCAGTACATTTAAAAACAATAATGCATCCTGAAATCCTACTGTTCCACATAGTGATAGAAATAGCTGCCTGGTTTACTTTTTTTTCCTCCAGTGTAAAAACTATGCACAGTATTATTTTTTGGGTTTATTGAATGTTAGTTGTAACCTTTCATCCTTCACTAAAACCAGTTTTTCCCCCCCTACAGTAACCTTTCAGAAATATTTTCTGAATACAAAGGATTTGGGTTTGGCTAGTCTAGAGAAAAGATGGGCTGGGGGAACACGATAGTAGTATTCCAGTATTTGGGAAGTTGCCACAAAGAGGAGGGGGTCAACTTATTTTCCAATGCAGCAGGGTCAGGAAAAGAAACAAGGGATGAAAACTAATCAAGGAGAGGAGCAATCTGGAATTAAGGAGAAACTTCCTAACTGTGAGGACAATTAACCAGTGGAACAGCTTGTCATCAGAAGTTGTGGGTGCTTCATCACTGCAGGTTTTTAAGAAGAGTCTGGACAGACACTTGTCTGAAATGGTCTAGGATCTCCTGCTTGAGCAAGGGGTTGGACTAGAAGACCTCCAAGGTCCCTTCCAGCTCTATTCTGGTTGATGATATAATGATGCCTGCACTGGGAATGAATGGGGCAGACACTGGGAACAGGAGTTTAGGGAATCCTTCTCTGTCATAGTCTTTAATATTTGTCTCCAATGATGCAAACAAATCTTACTGAGATTCACTCCATTTATCCACCTTAGCAAGTTTCATATAGCTTTCTCTCTCACAAACATCTTCTTCATTCATTATGATATAGCTTTATTTTACCCACCATCTGGCTTACCTTTTTATTTCTTGGTACAGCCACAAATTGATAATTAAACTAGTAAGCATCTTCAGAGTGAACTGAAAAACTGATTAGCAGGATGGATACACACATGTAGAAACTGGCAATTTGCCTGATACAAGCAGTGATCCATTACATTTGGTCTGAATCTCACATTATTAATTTGGCAGCTCTGCACAGCCTAAGACACCAAACATACTCTTTTATTGAAAGTAGGACACTAACCTGAATCAATGACACAAAACATATGCCATTGTTTCATTTTAATACTGGCTATTTTTCCTACCTTATTGTGCTTATTTTTATCTAATTTGCTTTATATGCATAGTACCGTTCTTGAAGTGGGATGCCATTTTTCAGAAAGATGAATGTTTGTATGTATTGTGTGTATCTGTATCTCTGTGTGGTGCATGTGCGTATATGCTACAGACCTAGCTGGTTTGATGATGATAATGAAAGTAACAAAGATAACTTCTGAGGAAAATTATGCAAAATTGTGAATGATTCTGATGACAGAGCATAAAAAAAGTCTTTATAAAATCACAATGAAAAAAAGTAGATGTTTGAGTACATGGTTAATAATATATCAATTTATTCATACATTTCCTTCCTTCATTTCTATGCATTCTGTCATTCTTGCCATATTTTATCTTTCATTCTTCCTTTTAATTGGTTATATTGTAATTGTCTTAGTTTATTTTTGAGTTACTCAGAATTATTCAGGCTGGGCAGTATATAAATTTAACAAATAAATAAATTCATTCTTTCAATCCATGGGCTGAGGAAGAATGAATGTAGGTAAGATGGAGAAATTAAGAACAACTGGTGGATCATTGAAATCAGCTTTTGTTCATGCCTAGTGACATTGTGATATTGTTTGCACTTACATAACAGGCAAAGCTTATTTCACAACAGGACACATGAAGCAGGAGTTTCCCAAAAATTTTATTGCCTGGATGTAAGTAGATATACTGTTTTAGGTAATTAATCCTGAGTTTTCAGACTTGTATCATTGATTGATTGGCTGACTGACTGACTGACTGATTTATGGTTATAATATACAGATTGTCTATCTCCAAATAATTCTGGGCAGTTTATAATATTAGAAGCAGGCAACAATGAAATAGGAATACAGATCATATGACTCCAAATGAAAACAACATACAAACTAGTAAAAAAAAATTCTACAGGGACTCAGCAACCATCCTTCCCCAGTCCTAAGAAAATAATCAACTCTTTTGAAGTTTTACTAGATGGGAAGCAAATGGATCTCTGGGAGGATACTGTTCCCACCAGGACACAGAAAGCCTACTTCCTAGGTCCTGACAGATGATAATGTTCAGTTACAGGACACAGAGTGGAAAAAAACCTTGTGGTGGCCAACATGAACTCTTGCTTCCCTTTGTTTTCTCCACTGAGACTGAAGAACACAAGACCACATCTGGCTTCCAATTATAAAAAGAAAATGCTGAGAGAATCAGAGTGTACATGTGTAGGTGTGTTTCAAGGAAGAATTGTGCCATGTCAGAGAGCAGGAAGGAAGAATTTGCAGCCAGGGGAACAGCCATCAATTCAAAAGACAAGCTGATGTTAAAGGAGGAACAAGTTTAGAATTCACCAGCAGTAGACAGAGTGAACAGGGAAGCAGAGCAGAGCAGCTTCAGTAGTCCAGCGGCAAAGCTGAGAAGTTACAGTCAGCCAGCAGCTGGAAAATCATCTTCCTTTTCTTTCCTTGGCACAGACAGAAAGCTTCAGCAACAAGTTAGAATAGCAATAGCACTTAGATTTATATACCACTTCACAGCACTTTACAGCCCTCTCTAAGCCGTTTACAGAGTCAGCATATTGTGGCCCCCAACACTCTGGCTCCTCATTTTACCAACTTTGGAAGGATGGAAGGCTGAGTCGAATCAAACTCCTGGAGTGAGCAGTGAGTTAGCCTGCAATACTGCATTCTAACCACTGCGCCACCACAATTCTTCTTTAGAAGCTGACAGCAACAGAAGCCAAGTTGAAGGTGACTAAACAGTGGCTGAAGACTTCGGTGTAAGTTCAGACCACAAAAGAGAATAGAATTGTATAGCTTGTTTAATAATGAGATACAAACAGTTAAGTCTAGATGTTAAGGCATCAGACTAGAAAGCAGGAAACTAGACCCGCTTTAAGCATGATCTAAATCTCACATAGTTGTAGTGGGGAAAATAGGAGTAAAGAGGAGAATTAGGTCATTTTGTCACCCCAAGTTATTTATAGAAAATAATAAAAGTGGGACATAAGTAAATAAATAAAATAAACATAATTGTTAGCATTATTAAGGATAATACAGAATAGGCTTAGTAATATTGTGAGTGGTACATTAGAAGTTAGAACAATAAGCAAGTTTGTTAAATTTTATATAATAAAAGGCTCCCTGGAACTCAAGGATGATAAAAAAATATATCCCTGTGTTGTTGGTCTGTACCATTTCCTAAAAGAATCTCCCCCCTTCTCACCCACTCTACCCAACCTTTCAGGAGCTTACAGATAGTAATACCTTGAATCTGACTGAGTAGTGTTAGCAAATGATTGATTAGAATCTTGAAATATGCGATTTTTTAAAAATGGTGAAGATCACTTCAACACAATTTACCTCATTTATTTTTAGCATATTGTGAACACGTAAATTGGAAATATTCTTTCCCTGTTTGTTTCATTCAAAATCTGAATAATGCTAGCATGTCAACAACAAGTGGGTGGGAATGTTGATATAGCTGATTAGATCCAATTCTTGCCTGTATAACCTTCTTGACAACATATTAATGTCTTTCTAACATTTTTCTAGATAATTTCAAATGACTGATGCTGTTTGAAAACTGTGAAGCATAAGCACAAACATGAAACATGAAACTTATATACAAGTGTATTCTCCTTCTAAAAACAACAATTCCTAGAAGAGACATGAAACTTAATTGGTAATGAATGATACAGTTGAATTAGTTTAACTAAATATTTAGTAGGTAGGCACAGCAGTGTAAATTAATTGTATTGATGGCACCAGTTTTAATGCTGTAGAATGTTACTGTCAGCTCTGAAGAATCAGTACCACGTGTTAAGTTCCAGTTAAGAAGATTTATTACTCATGCCTATACACAACAGTCAGCACTAAATTGGCATTAGATAAAGCTCAATGGAAATCAAGGGGGTGGGGGGAATGGATTTGGACTGCTGGTGGAAACATAATGACTCTGAACTGATTCCTCTCTTGACTCCATTCCCAGGCTCTACCTCTTCTTCTGCAACTACATTTCTGCTGTTTTGACATTGTGGGTCTATATACAGAATTACTGCGATTACATTGCAAAAATAATCAAGTCATTTTTGTCTAGATTACAGTCTTTTACCTTTGCTTATATCTGTTACCTAAGCAGAGAGCCAAATCAATTTTTGAGGGGAGGGGGCAGGGGGCTCCTGATAATTCAAAGGAATACAACTTTTGAGCCATATGTAAATTTGCCAGAGAAGACTCCTGTGAGTCCCTTGGACTGCAAAGCAATCAAACTGCTCAGTTCTAGGGGGGATCAACCCTGACTGCTCTTTAGAAGGCCAGATCCTGAAGATGAAACTAAAATACTTTGGCTACTTAATGAGAAGGAAGGACTCACTGGAGAAGAGCCTAATGCTGGGAATGATTGATGGCAAAAGAAGAAGGGGATGGCAGAGAATGAGATGGTTGGATGGAGTCACTGAAGCAATCAGCGTGAGCTTAAATGGTCTCCGGGGGATGGTAGAGGACAGGAAGGCCTGGAGGAACATTGTCCATGGGGTCACAGTGGGTCAGACACAACTTCGCAACTAACAACAACAACAACAAAGAGTTGAATTTAGAGCTCAAAAAGTTAAGTTAGAAAACAGAGAAGAGTATTTATAGTGCAATGTTGATATTTTCAAGAAATGTCTTCCTTTGGCTAGTAAGTAATATTGTCTATGTATTAATCTATTATTCTCCATTTCAGAAGTGATCTCAATTGAGGCTTATCTCCTGAGACGTTTGAATATGAGGTTGGACTTGAAGAATCTAATCAGTATTAGCACTGCAACAAATTTTTCTGTTATCCCTTGATGGGAAAGATACGAACACCTCAGATTCATGTTATTCTGCTGTAGAGAGGATTCCCACTTGTTGGTTGATTGGGTTGGTTGATTTATTAATGAAAATATATGAACTAAATATATTCCATTGTTAAATTAGGAAGCAGGGTATTATCTGATATACAGCAAAGATAAAATTCCATTGAGATAATAAAAAAAGATAGCATACAATGGTACTTGCGATAGCTCTGGAAAAATATGTAAAATATTCTCAAAGCATTGTTATCTGGAAAATTGAATTATTTATATGTGATGCAGTTATCCCAACTCTATTGACTTTAAATTCTGTCCTGTATCAATAATTTTGTTTTATTTATTGCTATGATTTATAGTATTGATGATTATATTCTAATTTGGAATGCAATTTTTATTGTTATAGCCTCTGCTTTTAAACATATGTATCTTTATTCCTATGGAAACACTGTACAAAGCCTTTAAAAGGTTTACATGTTCCTTAGAATTTTAACTGTTAAATCAAAGATCTTGGAGCCAAAAGTAAACACAGTAGACAGCAATATATATACTGCAAAGCTTGTACATACAGTACATTAAACACTTTGGTCACACATGTCATCATTCTTGCTTCTTTATTAAAATGTCTTTCTAGCACAGATATAGCAAAGTATGACTCTTTTGATCTCATGGGATTCTGATTGGTCAAGGATGATGGAAATGAACATCCAGAGAGCTGGTTTCTTCCTCTATACTACCATGTTTATCCAAAAAGACGACCCACCTTGAAAAGAAGCCCTATCATGTTTTTGAGTACATGTGATCAAATTAAGCCCCACCCACAAAATTAGCCCTAATTAATACCACACCCACCCTGAGATTCAGGGGGTGCGGTGAGGCACACAGGTAAAAAAATAAGCTAGGGTGCGGATGGGGGGGTAGAGATGCCCTACTTACCAGGCCTCACACACCCCAACATCTGCCTCACCTTATTCTGTGGCAGTTTGCCACCAGTCACACACATCATCCTGGCCTCTGTTTCACCTTCAGATGCCTGCAAGAAAGCATCTGCAGTCAATCTATTATCAGCAGCAGAGGGCTTTCCGGAAGGCATATGTAGCCGATAACAGAGCTCCAAATCTGATAATAGATCAGGTTCAGATGCCTTCCAGCAGGCATCTAAAGCCAAAACAGAGGCCAGGGCGATGTCTGCAAGTGGTGACAAGTGACAGCAGAAGAAGTGGGCCAGCAGCGGGCTCCTGCTGGGTGGGGCTGTCGGTGCCACTACCGCAAGGTGAGTCAATAATTAGAACCCTCCAAAAAGAAGCGCTAGCCGTTTTTTTGGGGGGGGGTCAAAAGAAAATAAGACAAGTTCTTCTTTTTAGAGAAACATGGTAGATAGATAGATAGATAGATAGATAGATAGATAGATAGATAGATGATAGATAGACATATAAATAAATAGATAAATAAATAAATAAATAAATAAATATCCTTAGAACAGTTGATAACTCGAGACAAAACAGCTATTAAAGATACAGACATAGATGATCCTGTTCTCCAATATAGATGTCTCTGGGTTTGTAGAATGTGCAAATAGACTTCTTTTCTTAAGATACTTATTACAATGGCAAATTAAAATCTTAAGAGATAGAGTTCACAGTGTAAGAAGTACTGGATATATCTATTAGAAACTGTTATGAGAGGCATTTGGCTACACATGAAGTATTGCAAAAATGGTGAGTATGTACAATATTTCCATCTGAAATGGTGACTGTTCACCAATTATATGAAAGGTCAATTACCTCTAATAAGCCAAAATCTGAAATCAATGATAAAGAACTGGACTTTCTCCAGCAGAGGTTTCTTCTCTTTTCCTACTGGTTATAGTATAAAACCTAGTGATGATTTGCTTTTCTCATTCTGATTCTTATCATGAAATACTATAGAGGAGGAAGGAGCACTAAGAATGTATTTATAGAAAAGATGAATTTAAATGACAGATGACTTTGATATAAATGAACAGAGCTTTTTGTCCAATTTAAGGACACTAGATTTTGAAGTACATCAAACAACACACTATATTGGAAGAATGAATACTATATAATGTGTATATTATAGATTTTCATAATAAAGTGTCATCTACTCCATCACAGATCAACCATCCTGTGTGATTTTGGTGGTAATTGTGTGCAAGTAACAATAGAAAGTTAAACTGTTTTCCATTCATCATAGTTTCCTAATCCCTAGATCTATTTGCCTGAAATAATGCCTATTTCTTTCTTTGGAATCAGCTCCATGATTTATGCAATTTTCATTAACAATGACCCCAAAACCTATCAATGAGTCAAAATTGAATGTTTTATAAAAAATTGATATGATATGATATGATATGATATGATATGAATTCCACAATCTCTCTTTCTAAAAATTGGCAGACTTTATCCATCTGAAATATCTGAAAATTACATCCAACTGTATCAAAAAGTAAAAACCATATGGCCATTTGTTTATTTTTTCCCCCATTCTGTTCAAACGGAGATTAAGAATGAATAAATACAATTTTGTTGTCGATGATTATTGATGATTTATTTATTCATTCACTGGTTTGTTTGTTTTTTGCAAATTCATTTGATGGTGATGATAATATTATTGTTTAAAAAGAAGTTCCAAGTTTCTTCCAAAACTCAAGACAAAATTAATGGCCTTTAATGTAATTTTTCAGATTATAATTCAGTTTATTTTTCAGATATATGCTGATAAACTAATATGTAATCGTAGCTTGGTTTAAATTAATTCGGTAAATACAATAATACTATCTTTTTATATCAACACATTGAGTAACAACTTATTGTAGACTAAGAAAGCACATTTAACTATAATTTATGCAAGGTGAAGGGAAATGAAACAATTAGAATGGTAAGCACAACTGTTAATTGAAGCCTCAAACTTTTTAAGGCGACATTATGTTTTTTGGAAGGAATGTGAACCAAAAAGAGTATTCCTAGAGCGCAAACCCATATGTGTTTCAAGAAAAGATCAAACGTGTACCATCATTTATTCTGAAAAATCAATTTTCTCTGCTTTCTGAAATGAATGAACTATAGTTTATTGAGAAGTGATATTGATGTATTTGACTTCAAACAGCCACTCTTTCCCTAGCATAAAGATCAGTGATATAGTATCATTGGATTCAATATGACCTACAACACTCCCAGATAGCATCTTTAAAGTAATGATTTAAAAATTTGAGATCACCTAAACTTACAAGTGCATGTACTTCCTTAAAAACTCAAGAGAACATTGAAATCTTATGAAATATTGGTGAGTTACTAGAAATTAGTGAAATTCAGGGTGACTATCTGAAATCTGGTTAGTCTGGGTAATTCTATAAATTTCAATTATCTTTTTCTATTTTTTAATAATTTCTTGGTTTCCATGTTATGAACAATTTCATGATGATTCTGACAGCTGATATCTACCCAAGTGTACAGTAGCTTAGAGTCACTTTGGACAGAGAGATGGGTGGAATATGAATGTAATAAGTAAAATAAATTTTAAAAAGTATTGGTGAATAGGAATTTTTAGGACAAAAGTAGTTTTTTTCTTTAAAATAGGCAATGAAGTTATAAAATTTTGTAATTTTAAATTTTTAACATTTAACGTGTATAAATAAAACTGAACTAGCAGAACAAATTATTTCTCTCTATAGTATACATATGTGTGCATCAATATGTTGTCTAGTACATTTAAAAACTTTATATTAAGAATTTTTAAAAATTAAAACTGTAAACACATTTTATATAAATATATTTTCCACATGTTCATATAGTAGAAAATATACATTCTAAAATAATTGCTTCTCAATTATCTCTCAAATATAGTAAGGGAGGAAAAGAGACAGAAACATTCACTGTTTTTTATTATGTTGTGTTAACAATTACCACTTCAGCTTAATTTTTTATTGCAATTTTAAAAAGAAAAGAAGCAATACATATTAAAAAGGAAGTTTCTATTTGATACATATATTATTTCAACAGTTCAGAGTTAGTTCAAAAAATATGAGGTTAATAAAAAAAAATAGAAAAGAAAAATCTCATATTTAGGTCTCTGCATAAAACAGTTCCAGAAATGTGCACTGGACAATAACTAAAAATAACATTTAAACCAAAATAATAAATTTTGTCCAATATATCTTTAATTATCTATCTATCTATCTATCTATCTATCTATCTATCTATCTATCTATCTATCTACATTATTTCTCTTTCTGTTACTAAGAATGTTAATTCCAATAATACGACTACTGGGGTAGATACTACTGTTTCTTGTTTTTCAGAATATATATAGAAATCATAAAAACCCCACAAGATGTGTGTTTGTAATTTTTATTTCCTTACTAATAGTGTTCTTTTCCAAACTACATTTTATTGCACAAAACTCTTCGGGGCATTTCACAACATTTTACTGCATACAATGAATACAATCACATATCAGCATTTTCTTTATTTTTTTGTATCCAGCTATTTATTAACATACAAAATCACCCTTAACAGAAAGAAAATCTTTAACTTTTACATTTGAAACAGTGCTTCTATTTGTTCGTCCTAATACTATTCAACATTTTAAAAGTTGGTACTAATATGTTATTATCATATAGATGGCATGGAAAGTATTGTTCTTTCTCCTCCCCTCTTAAAACAGTTTGCAACCATCTGTAAATTTTGTTTGTAAAATGGTGATCCAATCTACATAATCATGAAATCATCCACTGGGCCGCTAAACTGCAAGTTACATATTCATATGCAGCAAGAAACGTCTTTTTGCAGAAGTTCCCAATATGCAAGTTTATTTAGATGCTTTACTCTATCTAATAATGCCAATGTATCCAAATCCCATTTCCCTTTCTCTCTGTGATAATCACAAGTGGCCATTTTGTGCCACATGACAATTTGGAAAAGGGCAACCAGTTCAGCTATACTGGGAGAAGGAATGTTCTTCACGTAACCTGCATAATCTGAATTCCTAAAGGATTAATCAATTATGCATTCAGGAGAGGACACAAAGCTCTTCTTTCTCTTATTACTAATTCAGAAGACTTTTTAAAATTGTAAGGAGTAAGTAGGTATTTCAGAATGTAATATCTCAAAAAAGTGTTTGCTTAAACTCTTATTTTAAGATCCCAATAAAAACAATGATTTTAGAGATCGCAAAAACTCTCGTAGCGTACTTCTGCTTGCCATCTTTTATCTATATTTTATTGGTTTTATTATAATATATTTATTTGCTTGATTGTTGTGAGTCACCCAGAGTTCTGGAAAATTATAGTTCTTTTTTTTCCCATTCTTTTTGATAGAAATGTGGCCTGAAAATACAGAAGCCCAACATCTGGATGCAAAAAGATTCCTCATCAAATCCACCTCATCATACAGGCTCCCTGTTAATTATTGGTATATTATATATCCTAAAATGTAATGTGACTAGCTAGTGCAGGGGTGTCAAGCTCTATTTCATTGAGGGCTGCATCAGGGTTGTGTTTGATCTCAGAGGGCCAGGTTTGTGTGGCCAGGGGACATGGTGGGCATGGCCAGGGGTGGGCCACATGCACCCCCCAAGCTCCACTTTCGCTAGCAGAGGCACCACGAGCCAGTCCTTTGCTGTTTCCAGGCCAGATCCAAGTACCTCGTGGGCCGCATCTGGCCTGCGGGCCTTGTATTTGACACCCCTGAGCTAGTGCAACTTTTAATAAGCCATTGTATGCAGTTTGCCAAAACCACATGTATATATTATTGAAGCTTTTAAACAAGAAGATAAAATTAATATATATTATAGAATAGAAATGGCAGATAACAGAATCTGCCACCTAGAGTCACTAAAGTGAGTGGGCAGCCAATAAATTACCTGAAGAAATAAGTAAAATAAATAAATAATATGTTTCATAAATTAATGCAAACAAGAAAAAGATCAATAAAAAGTAGAAAGTACAAGAAAAGAAAAAAAAAGTTGAAGTAAATATTACAATAGAAAATAACTAAATGGGACCACTATTGACAACTATATCCTTCTACTATTAATTACTGGTTTAATTTTAAATTTCCCTTGATAATTTTTTGTTAAGTCCCAGTATATCTACCATTTATGTTTATCTACCGTTGCTCTTCTATAAGAGACATCTTGAGGTAAAATCCATAAAGGTGTTTTCAGACACAATCTGGTTTTTAATATATTCTATATTGTCATTATGACACATATAATAAACTTGTTTGGTTTAGTTTTGAGTATTCAAAAGATTATTTATATTACTAATTCATTTTCTTTACTGATCATTTTTCCTCACAGATCCAAGCCTGAGCTAAAATTGCAAGAATGACTTCAAAATTGTATTTTTTGAAGACCTTTTGTTTTCTAGCCACAATTGTTTAAAGCTGACAAATCTAACTAAAGCTTTCTTGAAGATTGATACAAATGCATTTCCTCTGAAATGAGTATTGGGAGTTGGATAGTATACAAATTTAATAAATAGATTTCATGTGTTCTTCTTGTCCATCCTCTGCCTTCTTTCCATCCTTTGGATAGGTATCGTTTGTGCCAGGGGTGGGCTTCAAAAATTTTAGTAAAAGGTTCTCTGCCCATTTGCTGGGTGGGGGTGGCCATGGTGGGGGTGGCCTAGTTGGCCTCCTGCACCACAGCAGGGGGGGGCATTTTTGCTCTCCCCAGGCTCCGGAGACTTTCCTCAAGCCTCTGGGAGGGTGAAAATGGCCTCCGCAGGCTCCGGAGGCTCTCTGGAGGCTGGAAATGGCCAGAAATGGGCCTGTTTCTCGCCTTCCCAATCTTCCGGTAGGCCCATTTTCACCCTCCCCAAGCTCCCACACGCACCCTGAACTTACCTGCATCTAAAACGGGCCCCCAAAATGGGGACTCCTTGGAGGAGAGGGGCAGGGTGGGTAGAGCCAGCCAGGAGTGGGATTTGGAGTTCTCTGAACTGCACAGAATCTTAGCTACAGGTTCTCCCGAACCCCTGCGAACCCACAGCAGCCCACCCCTGGTTTGTGCCCTAAATGCTATCTCAGTATGTCTGGCTTTCTTATCTTTTGTGCAGTCATAGGAAGGTTATTTTCCCAATTCACTGGATTGGAAAACTCCCTTTCTGACTGACTGAATTTTGTCTTCAATTTATCCATTTATCTTTAATTAAAATATTTAGCTGATGACAACCATTTATAAAGGTATCACAATAAATGGGAACTAACTCCTTGCTATCTATATTTCAGCCCAAAGAAAGATATGAATCTATTTATTCTTATGCTTTTTCACTCTAACACTAATATTATTTTTCTGAACAATGCAAACCTTCTACAGCCCAAACATGAAACTTAACAGGAAGATCTCAGTGGGCTTTGGGTTACAGTAGTTGAAACACAGCAGCAAAAGAAAAGGTGAAATAACCCAGTGCTTTCTTTGTTGATGCTTGTTGCTCTGAAATTGTTCTTACTCTTTTATTTCTTTGGATATCTTTGAATCCATATTGATTAGCAGGAGTCTAGCTTCTGCTCTGGAAAGAAAGCTTGTCATAGCTGTCTAAAAAGTAATAGGATCCCAGGAGAAATTTTATCCCAGCAAATGCATTTTATCCAGACTCAGACTGTTGAACATTTATCCCAGCGAGAGGAGGGGTTGTTTGCTTGTTTAAGTACACAAACTCACACATACATTCTGCAGTGCTACTGGGATTATTTTCCCCTTGAAAATATGTCTTGTATATACTCATTATCAAATAGTTCATGCAGAACTTACTGTGAACTAGAGAGTTACCTTATAGTCCACTACCATCAATCAATCAATCAATCAATCACATGTATTACTTCTTAGTCAATCTTAAAGAGTCATTTGAATTGAAACAAACATAATAAAAAATAAAAAGCCTGTGATATGGATAATGTAAAGCAACATAACCCATTTTATAGCTGCAACAATAATGCACTTGATCAGAAAAGTACCAAATTTACAGCATTTCTGGAATAGGAGACAGATCATTTTCAGATATTGAGACATTGGTACTGCATAGCTACGGTTTACAAGGGGAATATACAAAAGGAGATGATACAGTTAGTGTTTGTAAAACAATAATTTTTTTTCAGTCAGGAGCAACTTAACACTTATGAAATATTTATTATCTCAATATATCTTCAGAAGCTGTGACAAAGTTGAATGTTTCTTATTTATGGTCAGCCTGGTGTTTCAGATAGATTTAATTGTCAGTAAAAAGCTCTTAACAAACCATCATTGCAGGTATATATCTACATATGACAGGAACCGGAAATACCTCACAGACGCAGCCGGAGGCAGCTCCTCGAGAGTCAGGGAATGGATCTCAAACTAATCATGCCAAGACTGCAGACATAACCCTTGTAACATCTTCCCTTTTTCATTAATACAATCAGTGGTGGGATTCTGCCGGTTCTAGGGGGTTCGGCCGAACCCCTTGTTAAATTGCTGGCTCGCCTCGCCCTTGCTCCGCCCCTCCGCACCACCATTTATTGCCAATAAATAGTGGTGGGCAAGGGGCCGGCGAGCCAGCAATTTAACAAAGGGTTCGGTGTTTTTTTGTAATTTTATTGGCCCGCGGAGCTTCAGGATAGTCTAATTAGCCCTCCCGACTCTCAGCTGATTTGCTCTCAGCTGTTTTCCTCAGGGCTCTGCTCCTTGCTTGCAAAGAGTGCTGGAGCAGTTTTTTTCCCCCCTAGCTATGCTGAAAAACGAAACTGAAGGTAAAGCAGGCTCTTGGCTTTGCTGTAACGTTGGAAAATTAGGCAGGCAGATTTCTTTTCTTTTTCCTCACCCAAAAAAGGTAGGTGCAAACTACCTTTAGTGAAAAGGTAGTTTTCTGTAAAGAGGTAGTTCCTCTTTAGGGAAAAAGAGGAGAGTTCAAGATTTTAAAACACAAAAGAAAAAAAGCTCTATTTAACTAGGGAATTGTAATAATTGAGATACTATTAATTGTATATTGTGTTGAAAGCAGAAATGGTTAAGTTGTGGTTTGGAGGAATATATGGGGGAAATTATTTGGTTTATTATTATTGGTAAATATAATTAATTGATTTGTAAGAAATTGGATTGCATGGAAATAATTGGAATATTCATGTTCATATTGATAAATATACAAAAAAGATAGTTATATAACTAATTTATTTATATTAAAATGTTGAATTTATATTAAACAACTGTAATATTACATAATTAACCAATGTGAGGATGGATATAAAAATAGATGACAATGGGAAGGGGTATAATATAGAATAGAAGGGAAAATTGAATTTGATTAAGATTAGAGATGAGGATAAAGGGTAATATTGGTTTTTTTAAAAAAATAGATGAGGAATAAATATGGCAAAAGGGAAATATAGAAATTGTAAATTTAATTGAAATGACTAAAGACTGTTTAAATTTGTGAACCGGCCAAATACTCTGTTCAAAGAAAATAAATTGTATGTTTGTATGTGTGTTTCTAATTACTGCTATTTATTCATATTTGTTTTCTTTTATTGTTTAAAGTTTAACAATTCATTCTTTATCTTAATATCTTTATATTTGTTTGGGGTTGCCTTTCTTCCATTTCATCTTTTTTACTGTACAGCAATCTTTCTCCTCAAACCTACCACCTCTCTCTTTTCTTTCCTTCTTACTTTCTCCCCCCGCCCTTCTCCTCCTCCCTACTGTTGGAAGAAATATCCTTCTAGGTTCTGCTCCAAGTTGGGAAAAAGACATTGGAGACATGGAGACTGCTTGGAAAGGTGGTTTAATGGTGGACAGGATCACATGGCTTGAGTTCCTGAACAGAAAAGAGCAGATACAGTAAATCCTCGGGTTTTTATGCTCTCTCTGGCTCTGCATTTCTTGGGGCCCCGAAAGAGTATTCTGATTGGTTGTCAGACTCCCAGGGGTTGGGGGTCTTAGCTAGCCTTTCTGGCTGATGGTCACATGTGCTTCCCAGGTCACATGTGGTGAGTTTCTGCTGCTATTGTGTGGAGGGCTAATCCTATCTTTGTTGGATCTTTGGCAATTCCTACTATGGCTCTGCCTGAAGGAGGTAGATCTTTGTTATGTAGAATAGACTGGCCCAGGCCTTAATGGCCCATTGACAAAGGGTGGGGGCAGGAAGGTGGGAGCTGCTTTGTCTGTAAAATATGCTTGTCCATTTCTCATCCAGGGAAATATAATATTCTGCCTTTTTCATATTTCTTAAAATATTTCACTCTTCCAGGAAAGGGGTGGGTGCTAACTTCCTACACTACTTCCTCTTCCTTTCTTCTTCTCCTCCTCTTTTCCTCCCTCTCTTACCCTCACTCCTATTCTAATTTCTCTTCCCTTCCTTTCTCCCTTCTCTTCCTTTCCTCTCTCTCCTTTTTTCTTCCCTCTCTCTTCTCTTTCCTTCACCCCTCTCTATTGCTGTATCCTTTTGTGCGTATGGATTACTCAGAGGGCTGAAAAAGTTATTTTTGACTGGTCCTTGCACTTTTAACCACTCCTCGAACTTACGACTGTCCTTACATTTTACGTTTTTCGCCCTATCTTGTCACTATGGTGAAGAGAAGCAGTTGTGAAATGACTGACATGGTTAAGAATGCCACAACGGGCATAAATGTGAGGATGGTCATAAGTGCGAGGACCAGTCAGAAATGACTTTTTTCAGCCCTCTGAGTAGTCCCTATGCACATAGCCATGCCCACTCGGTCACATGACCAGCTAGCCATGCCCACCCAGTCACATGACCACCAAGCCACACCCCCAACTAAGCCACGCCCACAGAACCAGTTGTTAAAAAAATTGAATCCCACCACTGAATACAACTATCATGTTTTAAAACATTAAAAACCCCACTAATCCCATAAGCATTACATATATACATTAAAATGATCTAAAACCCTATAACTATAAAATACTATAAAAACCACTACATTGTGAACCATTCGAAGTTCCGATGTAAGTGACTGTAACATCTTCCCTTCATATTACCACAACTATCGGGTATACCTGCTTGCTCCGAGTTCTCATCAACATTAATCTGAGGTCCCATCCACGTGCATTCCTCATTGTCCATGGGTAAGTGTGGCATGGTAATACCAGATACATCTGGCCTGTCCACAGGATATGTAAAGTCTGGCCGCTCAGCTACATGCAAGTCTACCCGATTGCAACAATACAAAGTTCCATCAACGTCCACCAAATAGTTCCTATTTGCCATTTGTTGTAAGCAGCTACCCATTTTCCAGCAATCTGTCCAATCTCCAGGGAGTGGTTTCATCTGAATCCGTTCCCCGACCTTCAATTCTGGCAAATCTCTAGCTGAGTTGTCATATCTTGCCTTGACCGCCTGTCTCTTCAACCATAACTTTTCTCGAACCCCTTGTATCACCGAGGGCTCAAGCAGCCTTTCAGCCACTGGTAGTGATGTCTTTAGTCTCCTTGCCATCAGTCTCTGTGCAGGACTATTTTCCATGGCCTCAGATGGGGTATTTCTCCAATGTAGAATGGCTT